GCCCCCAACTTGCTTATTTGATGACTAAGCTGGCCTACTTGAGACTTGCAGTCTTTGTTAGGTAGGGGTCCCCCAGGCTACATTTCATTCCGTTTATCCTATAGGGAGGGAGTCAAAAGGGAGGCTCTTCACTTCCCTCTCTAGTAATTAGTTTCCCTATAAGTTTAAGGGTCTAACTAGCAATTCCCTTTAAAGATAGAAGAGCTAGTTTTTTCTATACAATTAGTAAGAGATAATGGCGTTTAGGCCCTCCTTAAAGGTCTCATTGCTGGTGTTGATGTTGCAAGGGTATATTCAGATTATGTGTTTCATAGTGAAGGGCTTTCTTTGAGCCTGATTCTAAATATAGTACCTTTGAAACTGTACAGCATTATTTAACCCAGACATTCACTGTACCCAAATCATACTCTTCTATGACATTTCAAATGTTTTTTACTACTAACATATTCCAGCATCCCCCTAACCCAGGTTTGCCAGCTTTTGCAAATAAAACTGCAGGATATCTAGTATAAGGAGAAAAATATTTGGGACATATATTGAAAAGTCACCTGTTATCTCAAATTCAAATTTAACTGGGCATTTCTATGTTTCAACTGGCTACCCCATCCCCAATGTATCATACTCAGATTTTTCACTTCCACTGAATTCTTGATTTCTCTTACGTATTACTTTTCCTGGCATAACCTTTCTTTATTTCTCATAGCTAGCCAAATATGGAAGACACTCATTTTCTTTGCCCTCTCCCAAATACCATTCCCACTAGGTACTAAGTAGGAGTAAGATTGGGGAGGAGGCTGTATGTGAGAATAATTGGGTTAAAGAGAAGCAGTAAAACCCTATCTCTTATCCCAGGTACAATATGTAGCTGTGTATAAAAAAGAACTTCAGTGTATTTGGGTGCCTATATATGTGACATATTTTGATATATTGAACTAATTAAAATTATCTTCATTCATTAATAATGATCTTCATCATTTTTAAACCTATAGCTTGTTTCATTGAAGGAATTTAATTCAGCTCCTTTTAAAGACTTTATTTGAGAGAGAGAGAGCAGGGGGAGGGGCAGAGGGAGAGAGAGAGCAGGGGGAGGGACTGAGCACAGAGCCTGTCACAGGCTCCATCTCACAATCCTGAGATCATGATCTGAGCCGAAATCCAGAGTCGGCTGCCTAACCGACTGAACCACCCAGGTGCCCCTAATTCAGCTCCTTTTAATATAAAACTGGTGTCCATGGCAGAATAAACAACTTTGTACTGAAAAGATTAGCTATCCCTCTTCTAAAAAGTCCAATTGTCATATGCTGCACTAGGGATTTCTCACTTTCTCTTCTCTCTCTCTTTTTTTTTTTTTTTTTTAAGATTTTATTTATCCGACAGTGAGAGACACAGCGAGAGAGGGAACACAAGCAGGGGGAGTGGGAGAGGGAAAGCAGGCTTCCTGCTAAGCAGGGAGCCCAATGTGGGGCTGGATCCCAGGACCCTGGGATCATGACCTGAGCCGATGGCAGACGCTTAACGACTGAGCCACCCAGGCACCCCTCATTTTCTCTTCTCTTGAGTCACAGACTCCTTGCTCTCTTCCTAGGCCATCCCTTCCCAGCATCTCTTTCCATCTCTCCTAGCTTCTCCCCTTTTCCAGGCCCCCTTATTCCTCCAGCACTGCTACTAGAAACTCAAAAATTCTTCTCACTTTGTATAAGCCTTCTTGTCTCATTCAACCTATCTCCTATGGACTATCTTGATACAGCCAAAGTGGCTTATCCAAATATGTATATAGGCCTGTTTTGGAGCTCTCTACACAAAAAACAAGTCTCCACCGGATGAATTCTGCTGCTAGCTCCTGAAACAATGTTCCTCTCTCTCTGTTGCTGTTACTAAAAGGGAGAGAAGAAGGGATCAGAAATGCTAGTTGGACCAGGAAGATAAAGAAAGGAAGGACCCTCAGTCCTCAGTGGGGGTTTGGATTAATTTTGAGGTCAGAAGCTGATAGAGCTGCCCAAGAGGGACTTCACTGGGCCTGGATGGAGACTCCTGAGCCAGGTGATAATTCTAGGGTCTGAGGGAACAGGACAGGAGGAGGGCTTGCTTGACCTTCCCCAGCTTTCTTCTGGTACCTGGAGCTTGGGAAATCTTGCTGGCACCTAGGGACAGTTAATGGCATTCCTCTGATGGGCAGTGTCCTCTTCAGGCTAGGTGATAGGCAGCTGAAGGGGGCAGCACTACTGAAGAAGGATGGGGGGACTGCTATTAACAGGCTGGTTCTCAGACTTCTATGAGGCTACCTTTTGATTCACCCAGTAATAGCTAGGGGACACTATAAGTGACAAAAGACAGGTCAAGGGAGAAATCACACCTGGTTATTGGCTCTGTGGAGGAGACGTTAATTAACTAGACCTTGAAGGATTTCTCAGAAGGCAGCCTCACCTTGAGAAGTAACATCTGTTATGTAAAAAGATGTGCATCTATATATATATATATATATATATATATATGTAATATATATATATATATATATTTTTAGTATTGTTGTTACTAGCTAATGGGATGTAAAGACAATGACTTCCTACCAAGGAAATAATTGCATTGCTTCTAGTAGATTATGATAGATTTCTTTCCCCCTGGTTTTTTTTTTTTTTTTTAAGATTTATTTATTTTGAGAGAGAGCGAGCAGGGGAAGGGGCAAAGGGAGAGGGAGGGAGAGAATCTCCAGCAGACTCCCCATTTAGTGTGGAGCCCAATGCGAGGCTCGTTGTGGGGCTGGATGCAGGGCTTGATCTCAGGACCCTGAGATCATGGCTTGAGCCAAAATCAAGAGTCTAACACTTAACTGACTGAGCTACCCAGGCACCCCTCTTTCCCTCTGTTTCTAACAGGTCTGTAATGTTGGTGGCATGCAAATGAGAACACTTGGGAGAATATGATGGACTAGCCCACTGAGACAGTGGCCATGGGCCCTGTTAAGTCATTCTGTGTTCATAGAATCAAGGACTATACAAACTTTTGATGGCCCACAGAGAATGTTCTTTAAAAACTCACTTCCCAAAGAAGAAACACAAGCAAACAAAACTCCCACCAGTATAGAAAAAGAAAAATGGCAACCAAGACATGTCTCTGAGGGTCGTTGAAGCAGAGAGTCTGCCTCCCGTCTCCCGAGAGCCACATTCATTACAGCTCCTCAGGGTGATTCTCTAACCCTAGTGCTTAGAACCCTAGTGAGGTGTGTGGGGAAAAGCTGCCAGCTTTGGGCGGCCACACGAGAAGCAAATCCATTTGACGGATGGACATTTTTAAAACCTGCCACATATGTTAGCTATTTTTATGGCAATTAAATTGTTGGGGGATCTGTGAGGTGAATGTGCAATAAAACCTTTCACAATAAACCATGTGGAAAACCATCTAATCCAACCCCTGGAGGTCAAAAGCCACAGTAACATGTTGCTTTATTCCATGAAAAAGAATTAAGACTCTATAGACAGCTTGCTTTTCCCTTTCTTCTTTATAGATCAGTGCCCCAGATTTGGGGCGGGAGGTACATTGTGTGAAGTGGAAGTGGCAACGCTAGAGGAGGGTGGGTAGGCCTCCCTTGCCAAGTTGAACTTAGGAAGTGCTCTGCCAGTAACTTTCAAAGCAGCAGCATTTCTATGCTACCCTCTTCCAACCTCAGGAAGTGATATTCTGCCCAGGAGATATATGGGGCTGGGGGGTGGGCAGGGAATTAGGACAAGGAGGTAAGGCACATAAGTCAGAACAGGATTTCACAGTGAGAGGACCTGGGGTTTGGGAGGTGTAAAGAAGGCTGTGATCATGTTTATTGAGTCATATACATGAGAATACATAGCTTTCAGAACATTGGGGAACCCTTTCATTTTCTTCTGAGGCAATGTAATGGTCTAAACAAAATAAAACTTGTAAGAGTTCTAGGACACTTTCTTACTGATTTGCACTTTGAGGATTTAAGCCTAAGTCATTTAGCTAAATGAGAGTCTAGAAAGTCATTATAGTTAAAAGAAAGCCTTGGGGCTAAGGAACATTTGAAGTTTCACAGTAACTCCTCAAAAATGACTAGTTAAGTTTGTTTATCCCCATTTGAAGTTCATTTTGAAAACTTCTGTCATTCAAGTTTATTATTTTTATTTCCTAAAATAGGCTCCTAATGAAGTGAGCATGCTTTCAGTCCTCCCTTATCTTTTCTTCCCAGGTGTTTTAAAATTTGAGAGTTAGAGCACATCTGAATAGCGTGAAATGCATGATTAGAAATGGTTAGAAAGGAAGAACAGGAACATTCTTAACAGCTGTTAAGAATCAAAATACCATCAGGGGCACCTGGGTGGCTCAGGGGGTTGGACATCTGGCTCTTGATGGCGGCTCGAGTCATTGTCTCATCGGGTCACAGTCTCAGGGTCATGAGATTGAGCCCCACATCAGGCTCTGCGCTCAGTGCAGTCTGCTTGTCCCTCTCCCTCTGCTCCTCCTCCAGCTTGTGTACATGCTCTGTCTCTCTCAAATAAATAAATAAAATCTTAAAAAACAACATCAAAAAAGAATCAGAATACCATCAGGTGTCAGATTCTCATCTCAAATAACTGAGGTACAGTCTCACTCTCGTTCTCGCTGTGTGATGGTCTGAAGTCGGCCTGAGGAACAGCCCAGGCGTTCAGGCCATGCTCACTGACTCCAGGTGCAAACCCAGGCTAATTATGGATGAATAAATGTGTGTAGATAGTGTTCTGTTATGGATGAATAAATGTGTGTAGATAGTGTTCTGTCTGCCTGATTCTAAATACCTTCACAATGTAGTTCATTTCACTGAAGGATGATTTAGGATATGCAGATAGAACAACTGATCAACAGATCAATTTTTCATTTCTTTGTTGACAGGTGTGATCCCAGGGACACGAACTGTACCCTTCTCAGAATAAACCTTCAAGGTCTTGGTTGTGGCCCCTTTTCTGGGCTGGGATCTTAGGGAGCATTTAGTGCAATACTGTTTTACAGATGACAAAGCTGAGGTTCAGAGAGGTGGGGGGGGGTGCTTTTCCATTCAATAAACTAGGGCAAAAACCAAGCTCACCTGAATTCAAACCCCAGGACATCCACTGAAGAGTTTAGGGCCAGTCATTTCCTGTGGACCTCTTGCTTCTCCTATAACATCAGGGTGTTGGGTGATTTAATATGGTTTGCCTCTTGGTCCCAACATTTCTGTGTTCTTTCCACTGTACTGTATCTTTGATTTCATTCATTCATCTGTTCATTGACTCATTCATCCCATGATAAGGAGTGGTTGGAAGCAGCTGCCCATCAGGGATCGTATTTATCAGCCTGCTCCCCTTGCCTTCTCAGCCCTTATATGTGGCTGGAGCCACTTCTTACCAGTGGGGCCTGACTGGAAGAGAAGCATGTCGCTTCCGGGCAGAAATGATTAGGTAAGAGGTGTGCTGTTTCTGTCCTTTCTTTCCTGTCTGCTGACTAGAATAGGACTCTATAGTCGTCGGGGGTAGTGGAGCCACAGGGTAGGAGCCTGAGTTCCTGAATCACCCCATGGAAGGCTGCTTGCTAAGCAACTGCACCGGACTGTTGTATGTATGAGAAATAAATTTCTTTGTCTTAAATGTTGTTATTTTTTTGTTGAAACAACTAGCACCATCCTTACTAACGCAGTCAGGCAATAGGCATTTAAATGCTTACTATATGCATGATATTATGGTGAGTAGTAGGGATCCATCAGTGAATAATAGTTCCTGCCCTCAAGGAGTTCAGCCTGGCAGGAGAAGACAGAGATATATCAGCAGTTGCAATACAGTGTGATAAGTACCATGATAAACACAGGATGCTATAAGAGAACATAGCCTTGGGCATTTCAGGAAATATGCCCAACAGAGGTAGCATTTAAGTTAAGTATTTTTTTTTTAATATTTTATATATTTGACAGAGAGTGAGACAGTGAGAGAGGGAACACAAGCAGGGGGAAGTGGGAGAGGGAGAAGCAGGCTTCTCGCAGAGCAGGGAGTCCGATGCTGGGCTCGATCCCAGGACCCTGGGATCATGACCTGAGCTGAAGGCAGACGCTTAACGACTGAGCCGCCCAGGTGCCCCTTAAGTTAAGTCTTGAAGCAAAGCCTATTTGATGGTGGGATGGTGTTATGAACTGAATGTTCTGAATCCCCACAGAATTCACAAGTTGAAGCTCTAACTCCCAATGTGATGGTATTTGGAGATGGGGCCTTTGGGAGGTAGAGTTGGTTGAGGTCATGAGGGTGGGGCCCTTCTGGTGGATTTAGTTTCCTTATAAGAAGAAGAGAAAGAGATTTCTCTCCACCTCATGAGAACATAGTGAGAAGGCAGCCACATGCAAGCCAAGAAAAGAGTCCTTATCAGTACTTGACCGTGCTGGCACCCTGATCTTGGACTTCCAGCCTCCAGAACTATGAGATATAAATGTCTGGTGTTTGAGCTGCCTAGTCTATGGTATTTTGTTACGACAACCTTTGCTAACCTTAACAGATGGGTATTTCTTCCCAAGGGACTGGTCTTTGCAAAGGCCCAGAGATAAGGGACGGCATGACTTGTTCAAGGAATTTGGTGGCTGCCGAGGAGGATGGAAAGGTAAGCTAAGGTTGGATCTGCAGGGAGAACCTCCCATTACACTGAGGCCTTTGAATAAGGTTTCCAGGAAGATGGCTTCTGTCAGGCATATGCCTCGAAGCAGCACTCAAGGATGATGGGATGAGCAGAGACCTGGGGGCGTGGCTTAAAGGGTAGGCAGGCAGAGAGAAGTAAGGGATTGGTCTAGAAATGGTAGTAGTGGTCTATAATGAAGAAAATATCCAGATGCTTACAGGTCAGTTGGATTTGACACCGTTTAGCAGCAAAGGGAAAAGATAAGCATCTCAAAAAAATATAGTTCACTTATCAGTAATGTCATTAAACAGACATGGGGTTCAACTCTCAAATTCATGGAACGGAATACTGTGTGGCCCTTAAGATTGGCGGGGAAAGCAAGTGCTTCAGGGACCCAGCAGGACTTTAGGTCTAACATGAATGAATTCCTCACTCCAGAGAACAAAATCATTATTTGTATCATGATTTCTGACTTGGCAAATAACCAGAGGGAATAAATCAGAAATCTCCCAACCCATTTTCCAATGAGCATCATCTGGTGGACTTTTTTTATTGTCTTTATTCTAGGCTTTTCCTCAGCCTCAAATCTTCACAAAAGAAGGAAGAAAAACAAGAGAGCCTCCCTTCTCTCAAACTTGTCTAATCCTTTCATAATTCAAGATCACAGAGCTGCTGTAAAAACTCAGCCTCACTGCTGTGCTTTTTCCCTGTGTGCTTGGCAGAGCAAAGCAATTCCATTTGCCAGCACTCCAGCGAGCGTGTGGTGATAAATAAAGCTGCCACCCTCTGCTTGCCCACCGTGTTTAAAATGACACATTGGACAAGTGGGTCTCTATTGCCTCCACTTTTTTCATAAAAAGGCTAAAAATGGTCTGCAAATGCAGTAAATCTTAATTTCTCATATAAACTCCAAACAGAAAAAAAATATCATAGGCCAGTTTAGACTGCAGTGACTTTGATGATCAGCTAGTGAGGATTTGAATACTAAAGAGAGAAGGCAATCTGAAAACTAGCTCCAGTAGCCTCCTGGATGTGTGGGGTTTCTCCTTTTCTCTCCTTAAAGCAAGCTTGCTTTCTCCCCATGCAACATTATTGGAACCTAAAAACATAAGTGCAGGGAGAGCGAAGTCAACATAAAAAAAAGCTGTTTCTAACTGCAGAATTCCAGAATTTCAAAATGACCTCTTGTTGTGGCTATGCATGCTAATAATTACCTTTTATTGAACAGTTACTGTATGACACATCCATACCAAGTGATTTCATGCATATCTCACTGAACTTCTGAGTCTGAGTTTTCTTTTCTAATGTTCCAATCTGGAATCAAGGGCATTCTTTTTTCTTTATTACCATTAACAGGAGAACTGACTTTGAGTTACACATTGAGTACTAAGGCCTGGAGGGATGATCTCTAACATGAATGAGTCAGCATGAAACCATCTTGTCGATCTACAAAAACAGAACCCTTTCTCTGGCAGTCAAAGCCCTCCTCAGTCTTGTGCAAACCTAGTTGGGAATCTTATTTCCAGCCCCTCTGTTTCATCATCTCTCTGCTCTGATCTCGTTATACAGTACTCTCTTTCCCCATGCAAAACCCATGCTTTCCCAGCTGTCTGCCTTTGTTCTAGGTCAGTCATTTACTACTTGGATTGTTTCTCCCCCATCCTCACTTCATAATGTCTACCTGACCTCTAGTCCAGCTCAAACTTCACATGTGCCATGAAGCCTGGCCTAATCTTCCTCCCCAAGCTGAAAGTCACCTTTTCTGTTTTGACCATCCAATCCTCTTTATTAAGTTCAGAAACTCTCTTTGCAGAGAGCAAAGCAGAGTTCACAGCAGCATGGTCATAGTAGCAAAAAATGGGAAATGACATAACTGACATCAATAGAGTGTCAGTTATTTTTTAAAAAATATTTTATTTATTTTTTTGAGAGAGGGAGAGAGTACAAGCCAGGGGAAGGGCAGAGGGAGAGGGAAAACAGACTCCCCTCTGAGCAAGGAGCCTGATGTGGGGCTTGATCCCAGGACCCCGAGATCATGAGCTGAGCCGAAGGCAGACACTTAACCAACTGAGCCACCCGGGAGCCCCTAGAGTGTTAGTTAAATAAATTGTATTCTTGTATATTGTGGAGAACAATATAACTATTAACCATCGTGACATAGATCTATATATATTTACTGATTTAGAAAGATACCTATTCTAGATTGATAAGTTCAAAGACAGGTATCTTTAAACACAAAAATAATTTAAATGTCACCTGCTTCAATCTTCAGCGGCTGAAAGATTAGGCCTTAGAAGTGGCCCAAAGTTGTTTCTGAAAGTCCCCAAAGGTCAGGGAGGGAGGTTTACGTATGCCCAGAGCTGTAGTCACCATACCAAGTCAGCTCTTGGAGGTGCTCTAAGAAGTTTCATTGCTTTACGTTCTGATAGAGGCCATCATGAGACATTGATTCGCCCAAAGCCATCAGTCTGTGAGCTGGTACTGAGTTCCGCTGGGTTCCTTAAGTCTTCCTGACTCCTCTTCCTCCATCATTCACCATATGTGGAGTCTTCCATACACCAGCCCCTGAGACAAAGGTAAACAGGACATGATCCCTGTCCTGGAAAGACTCTCAGACTGTCCAGGTTCCCATTCCAAGTCCTGCTTGGAAGTTCCTTTATAGTACTCTGCTAGCTGCCCTAGAGTAGACAGTGTGGACGGAGTGCTGAGTGAGAAGATCTGGGTTCAAATCTCAGCTTTGTCACTTACTAGCTTACCATCTTGGGCAAGGCATTTTCCCTGAGGCTCAGTTTCTTCAAATAAATTGGTAGTGACAATATTACTTATCATATTGCTTTGTTATGAAGCATAAAGGAGATGTGAATATCAGTGTGATTCATACATCATAAAAATCTAGAAAGGCCATTTAATGTTTAATAACACATACTTAATCCTAACCCTACTTCTCTAACTCCTAATGAGATATCTGTCAATTTATATGACTTCTGAGAATTTTTCAGCTCTCATTTTTTTTAAGGCCCAGGATGGGAATGACACCTGCTTGACTTTGTAGATCTGACCTTCAACTGAGCCCCTGCCTGCCACAGTGACCTTGACTCAGGATGTTTCTCATGTTAGAGAAACCCAAGTGACAGCACCTTAGTGGCCCAGCAGCTCTTGATAGGAACTCACAGCCCATCCTCAAGTTCTCATCTAGCCCTCCAGACAGGATTTGGAAATCCACTATCTCACATGTCAAACAGGAGCCCTTCACTGAAATACAAAAATGTGCATTCCCAGGATTTGAATGGACAAATCACACTCAGGAATGTTGAGGGACATTTAAAAATGTCCCCATATTCTTTTGCTTCTTCACTGCAGAGCCTTTCTGGGAAGAATTGTCTGTTCTGCTCCAGAGATTGTGATCACTTCGGGGTATGTGGACCGCTATGCGTTCCCCCTGTGGAATGGTTTCTTTTGTGGGTGTCAGTTAAGTTATGAAGTGTTAACAGGCTCCTGGAAGAGCCATCACATCAAGTAGAAGGTGTTGGGTTTTGATTCCTGGCTGTGGTTCAGGTTTATTTAATTTCTGTCTCCTCCCCCCCCACCTCCTTAGTCTCAACCTATTAAGATTTAAACACTCGGGCCCACAACTCCAGTTGTCTTGTTTGTATCTGTTTTAGGGCTGCAGACACTACCATTCTTGCCCTTTCAGCTTTGGAGAGAGCGTTTTCTTTCCATGCATGAAGAGGTTGAACCTTGATGAGAAAACCTGCCATGTTCAAATACTTTGTGCTCTTTTGATTCTCTTCTCCTGGGAGTGGACAAGAACCGGGCAGATTGTTACTGCTATGGCCCATGCGGCTGACTTAAAAACAACACATATGGGTTGATGTTCTCATGTGCAGAGTTTTTATTTTAACCCAAGTGTGCCTCAGTCCTTCAGAAGCTTGCTCTGAGTCAGATGTTAGGGAGGTTTACCTGCTGGTCATTTTTCATCTTGATAAACCCAAGCCTTCAATGGGAGCTCTGTTGATGAATAGTCATTCTCTCTTCTGCCTTTGATTAAAAAATAATACATCTCTACATTGTAGAAAATTTAGAACATAGAGATGCATAAAGCAGAACATAAAAGTCACACCATTAGCCTGTCATCCTGAGACAATTGCTGTTAACAATTGGTGTGTCTTTTGTCTAAGATCAAATAGAATTGGGACCATTTATGCTCTCTGCGAAGTACTTTTTTTCATTTAATATATCACAGCCATGATACTGTGCCTGGTCAAGCATTCTTACTCTTCAACACAATCTTTCCTGGCCATGGAACACTGAGAGGTCTAGACTGCACCAGCTCCCTTATGTGGACTTCATCTGGCTCCTGGATTGGAAGCTATGGCCCAACTCCTGGGGCTGGGTACAGGCTCCTTGGAACCACTATCCCATTTCTAAAAATGGCTATATATTCATGTAAAAATATAAAATATTTCATTGTCAAAAAGAACCCAAGAAATCTGCTCAGGGCCCTAGCTGAGAAACTTACCCATCAGATCCACTTCTTTCTTCGTGTTCACAGTTTGGAATGCCATTTTCTCTTACTTATTCGTCCATTCATTTGTTTATTAGTGGCTTTATTTTTTAGAGTTTTGGATACACAAAAGTTGAGCAAAATTGAACAGAAAGTATAGAGAATTCCCATATACTCCCTCTCCTGTCCACTTCCAGCCTCCCTCACCATTATCATCTCCCACCAGAATGGTACATTTGTCATAGTCAATGAACCAATATTGACATGTTATCAATCAAAGCCTGTGGCTTACATTAGAATTCACTCTTGGTGTTGTAACTTCTATGGCTTTTGACAAATGTATAAAGACATGTATCCACCATTATAGTACCGTACAGAATAATTTCACTGCCCTAAAAATCTCTTGTGCTCCATGTATTCATCTCTCCCTTCCCCCAAGCCCCTGGCAGCCCTTGATCTTTTTACTGTCCCCATAATTTTGCCTTTTACAAAATGTCATATAGTTGGAATCATATAATATGTAGCCTTTTCAGATTGGCGTCTTTCACTTAATAATATGAATTTAAGTTTCTTTCATGTCTTTTTTATGGCTTGATAGCTCATTTCTTTTTACTGTTGAATAATATTTCTATTGTCTGGATGTACCACAGTTTATCTATTCACCTACTGAAGGACATCTTGGTTGCTTCTAAGTGTTGGCAATGATGAATAAAGCTGCCTTAAAAACATCTGTGTGCAGGTTTTTGTGTGGATATAAGTTTTCAACTCCTTTGGGTAAACACCGAGGAGCATGATTGCTGGAACGTATGTTAAGAGTATGGTTAGTTCTGTCAGAAACCATCTTTCAGAGTGCCCGTACCATTCTGCACTCCCAGCAGCAGCGTATGAGAATTCCTGCAGCTCCCCTTCCTTGGCAGCACTTGGTGTTGGTCAGTGTTTTGGATTTTAGCCTTTCTGATAGGTAGTGGTAACATTTTTCTTTTTCTTTTTTTGTTCAAGATAAAAGCCTTGGAATTGCCTGAAAATGAGTATGTGACTATGAATCTAAGCAGGTTCTCTCCTCTCTGTTGTTAAGCAGAAGTACACTAACTTCTGAGAGCCACACAGTCTGCCCTCCAGCTCCTTTGTGTCATCTTGGCATCCTGTAGGTGTTTAGAAAATGTTTGCTGATTGCATAGCTCTCAATGACCTGGCTACCTCTGCTTTTGAGAACCAGAAGGATCTATTTGGGGAGATTCAGACATATGTGCACATGCATACATACTCACAAAAACCACAGGTATTCTTCTATACCAGCTTGGGACCACATTGCCTAGGCTTTCAAACCCTAGACTCTGAGGACCTCCACATGTTGGCCTTGGTCTATAGGTGATAATAAATGAATAGTTTTGGTTATGTTTTATCTTGGTCAATCATCAGGCCCATTATTATCTTTGGGTCTCAGACAATGAAACAGTTACTCTCCCTATTGCAGCCCACACTGAACCAATCCCACACCTGCACCTATGGACACCAAACCCCGAGGTGATAGGAGCGAAAGCTGATGAGAACTGTGTTCATTATCCCTCTCCTTTGTTTCATTTTTTTTTTCTTCCTTCATTGTTCCTCCAAGAGGATTCTTAGAAGGAAGGAGACCTATTATTGAGTCCCCTGGAGGTAAGCTTATACCCCATTTTTTGTGCTTCCGTTGTGCTGATTCTGCATTATGTGCCTGGTACATGATAGGTGGTAATCCAT